CACAGTTTATATATATTAATTTTTATGGTACTCCAACATTTATTTATGAATAGGTATTATTATTTTAATTGTGTAATATTAATCAAATAATTGTAATAAAATGGACAATAGACTAAAAATATAAATGATAATTAATAAAATTAAATTATTATTATGTCACAACATTAAATTTCTATATTTGATTTCATCGTAACCACCAAAAACCATCCATGTGTGTGTTTGTTATATAACTTTGAAATGGGTGATTCTTTATTTAAATTGTAGTAGACGAATACAAAAGTGGTTCAACTTAAAATCTTGTGAGGATGTTAGTCGTTATTTAAAAAGCTATATTTATTTGGTAGCCACTTATTATAGTATGTAGCAAGAGTACTTTTTCCTTTTCTTTTCCTAGAAAAAAGAATATTGTTTCGGAGGATAAAATTAGGATATATAAAGTCAGTTTGGTAGTGCTGTAGATTTAAAAAAAAAATTCTATTAGTTGTGCTGAAAAAAATAATTGTTATAAAAAACAGTTGAGTACTTGGTAACTGTAATTATACAAGTGTTACTGGTTTCAAAAGCAGTGTAATAGCGTTTGGTAAATTGTGAGGTTTAATTGTTGTGAATAGTTAAGATGATCAAAATAGACATGATATGAAATTTAAATATGTATAATTTTATTTGTTATTAAGAAATACTTGTTTAACTTTAAAAAAAACACAATTTGTTCCTGCATTTGGGAACATTAAATTTATAATAATTAATATTTTTTCATTTTTTCATTCACAATTTATAGTTACAACAAAAATGACCATTAGTGAGTAATCAACATATATAATCTAATTTATCATTAAAATAAAGATAAAATATACATTCCATTCTAAAAACTTGTGGAGTCATTTTGTATACAACGTATGTAGAAAGTCTCACATTTCAAAATGTTTTTAGGGAGAAAGAGGAAAATAGGTCAAGATTTGAGATGAATTAAAATTAATAGGCCAATAGTTTACGTAAGTTAATAAATAGGTCAAATTATTATTTTCGTCCATAACTTGTCCGGTTATGAACCATAACTTGACAAGTTTGTCCATAACTTATCTGGTTATGAACCATAACTTGACAAGTTTGTCCATAACTTATCTGGTTATGAACCATAACTTGACAAGTTATGGTCTATTAATTTCTATAACTAAAAAATGACCTATAGACTTTCTTAAGCTTTTCATATTGGCCTATTTCCTACTATTTCTCATGTTTTTAATCCCCCAACCTAAGCAAAAAAAAAAAAAAAAAAAAAAAAGCGTATTTACTGTGCGTGGTTTTTTTTTGTGCTTTTTTTTTTTTTTTATCACACATGCATATATATATATATATATTATATTTATATATATTAGGGAAGAAACGATATGGAGTACCAAGAAAAAAAAAAGATACGGGGAGTAAGAAATAGTGGCCTCGTTCGCGGATTCAAATTTTTAATTCGAGTTGAGATGTGACATTTTTTGAGAACTTTTCATTGTAGCAGAAGAAGTTAGATGTGACATTTTCTGAGAGCTTTTTACTGTAGAAACTTAAAATTGAAAACTCGAATCGGTGAAATGAACAAGGTTAAAGTTATTCTGGGTATTTTATAACACAATAAAGGGTATTTTAAGTATCTTAATATTCACTTAAATGGCAGAGTTATTACCCGCACCAATCCAAAAATAGAAGCAACCTCAACACAGATTGAAGATTCTTTCCACTTCCTGTGCACTACAAATTCTTCCATAGTTATTCTTTTACTTTTTTACCAAACAGAAAAGAGACCCAACTTATTAAAAAAGTGCTTTTGGCTGGTTCAAAAGCAATAGCAAACATAGCCTATATCCGCCTAATTAAAATTGGCACTGCTCTTTGTACGTAATATTGCATAGTTCTTTTAATTTGGTTCCAGTAATTCGGTAATAATTTGAAAACTAATTTTTTTAAAGACCAATTCTAACTGTATTAGTTATTTGATATTTTATTTAAAATGGTTAATGATTTAGTTTTTTTTAGAGCATCTCTAAGGGAGTTCTCTAAATTTTGGCTAAATTCTAGCTAAAAGGACTAAAAAGTTATTTTAGTTAGCAACTTTTTAGTAAGTCACTCCAACTGCATTTCCTATTTTAACTAAGTATAAATTATTTTAATATTTATTAAGTTTAAAAATATAAGTATAAATGGTTAGCTATTTTAGAGAATGTCTTTCACACTAGCTAAATATAACTAGCATTGAGTGATTAGTTATTTTATTTTTTGTATTATTTTATTTTTTTAATTGTAATAAATGCAACGACTCTTTTCTAAATTTAATAACAGTATTTATATTTTTAAATTTAATAAATATTTAGTTAAAATATGGAGTATAGTTAGAGTGTCTTATTAAAAAATTATTACTTAAAATAGATTTTTAACTATTTTAATTAAAATTTAGCTAAAATTTAAAGAGTTCTTTTAGAGATGTTCTAAGAGTATAAACCAAATGTTAAAAACAATTATTTTTGGAGGTAAAAAAGTCTAACACATCTCTATGAATGTGTGCACATGAAACCTAGAATTAAATTATCAAATGAAGAAAGATGGAGAAATGTGCTTATCCTTGCTGGCGCTAATAATACCACAAATACTTAATTCGGTTATCGTATTCAGTACAGAAAGTAGATATTTTCATTAATTGTACATAGATATTCAGCTCCTCCTTAATTAATTTGCAGGACACTTGAAATAAGTGATTTGATGGAAGAAAAAAAAATTGAATATCATCTTTGAAAATCCAAAACCTAACCCAAAAAAATAAAAAAGTAAGTGCCAGCTTAACGTGTGTAGTACAAAAATTTATCTCTACCTCACAGGCATACTTGAGGCTTTTATATATATATATATATATATATATATATATTACTACCATAAGGTGTGTATTATAGTTTTTTAAAAAATTATGAACTTATGTTTGTTGTTATACCTCAATTTTTACAAGTCAAAGTTAGCAATCTACATCTCAATGCTTGACCACTAACTTAAAAATTGTCCACAAAATTTGGGGAAGGACTCAAAAACGAATATTTAAACAAGAGGACAAAGAAGAGCAAATCATAATTGTCTAGGGCCTTTTGTGCAATTAGCCAACTCTCCTAAAAGCTAGTTCTACCGTTCATAATCTTCTAGTTAAATATTCCTAGTTGTAGTCATCCAGTCACCATTGTGTTTCATCTTCACACTTTATTCTAAAGAAACCATAAGAAATCAAGATGGTGAAGTTAACTATAATAAATTATAGTTTAAAAGTCATAAAAAAAATCATTCAATAAAAGAGAGTATCAATAATTACAAACACGGACATATATAAACATATGTTTATATATATATTATATACATATAGTGTGGTAATTGTAATATATAAATTATAGATTAAAAGTCCCAAAAATAGAGTTTAAATAATTACAAACATGTGCATATACACAAACATATTATATGCATATGTGTTGTGTCTCTGTGTGTGTATATATATGTATGTATGTATGTATATAATAATCTTGTACAGAGAGGGAAACCGTGGAAAGTTCAACGGGCAGTGTTGGTATAATATGTAATCAAACCAAAGAATTTGGTTAAGAGAAAATTACATAATTTACTTTTAAAAGTGTATGAGACTAGATTTTAATCTCTCATTCCTGATTAATATTCTTTTACTAGCATAGTTATTTAACTAAAAAGGCTATTAATCAAGAGTAAAATGTAAAAATTCAGATTCATACACTTTTAAAGTATTTGTCTCCTTTTCCTATTTGTTAATCATAAGCTTAAGATATTTGAGACTTTCAATTGGTCCGTCACGTAGTTTCAAATCCAATTATCGGCCCAAATTTAGGCACAAATATGCATGTATGAAATATGAATGCACATAGAAATTACCTACTTTTCTTGGTCTATTTTTCCAGACATCTATTTTTCAAAGTAATAAGGATATAGTCAATATTCAACACCACATAATAAATGACACTTTAGCCTTCCTAAACCAACTCATTAAATAAATGCTTTGCCAAATGGATATTCTACAGGTCAAGTAAAAATTTGTGTAAAAAAAAAAAAGATCATATGTTATAGAAATTATTTTTGTCCACTATATATATATATATGTATGTCTTCATTATAATTATATCAGCTGTATAAAAGATAAGTTGTTATTCGTTCGAGCGCATATTTGATCTGTGTATTTAGGTCTTTTTTGGCTAAGGACCGATACGTTTTATGACTTGGGATGAAGACGAGCACACAATAATTAATTAAAATCAAGACGTGACAGAGAAAAAGAGACACCTTTAAATGATTCAATTTATATCTATCCCAATTTTTAATATTTCAATTTCGTATTTAACCAATCACATTATATCATGCAATTAATTTAATGAATTAAAACATAAAAACATATGGAAAAGTCAGTTAAAAATATTTAAAATTTTTTAAACGACATAATATACTGTGATTAATTAAATATCATTTTCGATACGAAAGTGTATACATTTAGCGCATTTAAGGAAAAAAACCAACTTATAAATGCCCCGTGGCATATTCCATTGAAAGCTTCACACAATCACATAAAACCAACTTTTCACCCTTCTTTAATGAAGGCTACAACTTACTTTTCGCATTATTCTTATATACCACACTTACAATATTTTTCCTCCTACCAGGACACATCTTGTAGTTCCCCTCTTTTTCCCTCCCTCTTATAATTTAATGTTGTTTTCGTATTATTTAATGTTGTTACATTTTCATCCGTCATTTTTAAACTATTCAACCCCTTCGTTACCATTTAATTCATTCAATCTCTCTCTCTCTCTCTCTCTCTCTCTCTAGCTTATCCATACCCTCCACTCGTACCTATAATTTATTATCAATAACATCACTCTAGCTCTCTTTCTCCAGATCTCCATTCTATAAGATCCACCATATATAGATGTAATTAGGACCAAACATCAGAAGAAAACCAAAACCCATGTTTGTCAAAGGGTGGCTAACTTAGCATATCACGTTTCTAGCTTCTACCAACCACACATATATACACACAACTATAAACAATTACCCGAAACCCTTGTTTTCTTCTTATCCTTATCAGGTAAACAAAAATTTTTCCCTACTTTTGTTCTTTCATCAGTACTATTTCAATTTTTCGTTTACATATACAATATATTGTTAACTCTATTTTACCTACTTTTACTCAATTACACTCTTTTAGAAATTAAACATGAGCCAGAGAAGGGATGATCATCAGACGAGCAGTTCAAAGCTGGACGTGAAGATGAACCTGTCTCCGACGCCGCCGCAGCCGCCACCGCCGGATTCTCCACAACCCGAGAGAGCGACGAGCAGCGCGTCATCTTCGTCTTCGGAGACGTCGTCGGAGATGTCGACCAACGGATCTTGCGTGTCGTCGGAGGCCGAGCAAGATCAGACCAGCCCGGATCAGAGCAGCAGTATTAGGGTTAGCCCGATGGTGCTGGTGGGGTGCCCTCGGTGCCTGATGTACGTCATGCTGTCCGACACGAATTCCAAGTGCCCCAAATGCAAGAGCACCGTTCTTCTGGATTTCCTTAACGAAGAGGCCGACAAGAAAACACGATAGAATCGCCGGTGCCGAAAGGACGATCAAGATATTTACTTAATTTTGTTTGGCACGTCGTGATAAATTGTGTAATATTTATCTTTGTATAAGGTTGATTATTGTTTACTTTTTGTAACGGTAATTTAATTCTTGTACGATGATGAATATATGATATATTACTGCGTGCCAGATGAAAAAAGAAGAAGAAGAAAGGGTTGGAGTGGCGGGGAAAGTGGGGTGAGTCTCTTTTTCAGTTTTTGATTTTTTTGTTTTCTTGCAGAAGTTGGTCGCATATAAATAGGTCATGTCTTTGCGTGCATGTTTCTTTCCTCGTAGAGCTAGGACCTTTTATTTTTTTAATCTTCTTTTGCAAAAAAAAAAAAAAAAAAAAAAAAAAAAATGAAATCTTGTGTTATCCTGGTTAATGGTAGTGTTGTTATTTCTTTCTAAAGAATTCCTTATTTTTTAGATTACTTGCGGCAGTTTAGATGGATAATTTATTTAGGAGCAACTCCTTATCACATGTTTAAATTTTTAATATCTCAATTGGTGTCCAATCAATTAAATTATATCTCTAAATTTCTCAATTTCTTCTAATTTTTTATAAGAGCGTAAATCCTTGTGCTCTTTGATTGGAGTACTGCTTTGCTTGGGAGTACTAAAATTTATGGTTTTTTTTTTTTTATCTGGGACTTTCTTTAGTTGTTCATGTAAAAATAGACTACCGGTAGTTTCTTACTTTTTAGCCGTTAAATCTGTATCTGAAATTATTTATTTTGCGTACTTTTTTATTATGATGTGATTTTAAATAGATCTAAAAGTAAAAAATGAGACTACAAATAGGGCAGACTACCGGAGGAAATTCCTTTTTATTTTTCCAATACGAAGTCAGCATTTTATCACTGGAAAAAGAAAATTAACTGTAATTAATCTAGTAATACTAAAACGAAAAGGTTAAGTTTTTTTTTTGAAGAAGAGAAAGCTGAATAACTGATAAATTACCGCATATGTTTAGATATTGCGAAAAATAATATCATCGTGCCTTGCTTTATCCACGAGTGTGTAATATACTAAATAAATCTTGTATTTAAAGTATTACAAAACTGATACAAGTTAGATCCATGCCCCATTTCCATTAATTATACTAATAAGCTTAAAAGATGTAGCATTACCTCAAAAAAAAAAAAAAAAAAAAAAGATCTGCATCAATTCCATTTACACATCGTGGTTGTGACCAGAGTGTCCAAGGTAGATTATTAAATATTGATATGTACAATTTGAATCCTCCAGTACTCTTCAGATAAAATAACATAAAATAAAATCCGAAACTCAAGTTATGCAGAACTATTATTCTTCTGTTTTATTATTTACCTTTGTATAAATAAAAAACTATTCCCAAAATTAATTAGTGTACTGTGGAGTCATAAGAAACTTTCTATATATAGAATTAATATTTACATGATTGCCATTGTCAAAGTAGGGTTGTGATGTAATTACGTGACATATCAAACATTGAGAACGATTGAAAGTGGCATAAAATGCATAGGTTTGGACAGTGAAGCACCGTCCGTGTGTTTATGGACAATAATACTGCAATGATTGTTAGGCGATCCGTCCTTTATAGCAAATCATATAAGCATAAGGCCAGTAATTGACAATATTGGTCCTCACAATTTTTTAGCATGTGACACTTGTTATTTTTTTGTTATTATTTTTACCAAACGATCCCGAACTTTGTTAACTACGCCATGCAAAATTTATCCCAAAAGCTTCCATTCGGGGGAATAGCCAATGAGGCTTCAACCTTGCCGCTGGGTCCTCCAACCGAGCTTGACAATGCGAAACCTCTTGGTCAGTATTGGGTTCACCCAATTTCTTTATATTACTTGAATTTCTTATAGGATTTTTCCCTTTTTTTTTCGACATGATTTTCAGATTCATTAGCGAAATCGTCAAAAAGGAATCATATCGAAAAATCAAAGATGCGACCAGAGTCTCTCAAGATCTCGAGGAGTTGGGGGTCGAAAGGTTAGAGAAAAAGTGCGCAACCGGGGAAACAGAAGAAGCTAACCCCTGGATTTCTACTTCTATTGATCTGTTAAATATTGAAGAGGCATATTTTTTTGACAAGTACTCCGCTAGAAGGAATGAAGCGGTCAGAAAGGAAGAAGGCCAAGCAGGAGAGGAGGAATGGTCAGAAAAGTTTATGGTCTTTTAGTACAATGTTTGAAATTTTCTTTTTTTTTTTCGATAAATAACGACATTTCGATTTAGTTTTCATACGCAGAAAGATTTATGTTTCTCAGAGATGATTGCTTTTGCTTCTGCAAAAGTCTTTAAGGCTTGAATTTGCTTTCCTTTTGTTTCTCTATATGAAGATTTTTTTTTTTTTTTTTTGCTCAAACTATATGTAGAAAGTTGTTAGGTGGTATGGTATTGTTTTTTTTTTTTTTTTTTTTTTATAGATTTATTTATTTTTAAGTTCTAGTTTTGTTAAATTATAGGTTTTGTTAGTAAAATAACTTTCTTTATCGGATATCTATGTTATATGTGATCTATTCCATTGAGAACTCAGCGAATTTTGACGGAAAGCTTTTAATTGGCAAGGTTTATAAAGTCCGGAAGTAATTCGTTTCGCAAATATTAAAAAGAACTAGGATCAAGTTGTCACCTATTTAAGAATTCAAAGACCAATTTGTTAATTACTTTATATAATTAGGTGATCAAGCCGTCCTCTTTCGTTTCAATTCTATAACGTTTGATGTTTTTCTCTCATACTAGAAAAGGCAAATGGGAGATTCAAGACGAGGTGCCCTCCCCATAAGGTCCCATAAAAGGGGTCATTAATCTAACCATGACAAAGAGAATTTGGTATAAAAGAACTGCTACTTTTACCTCACTAGTAGCACCTCACTGATATAAACAGATGTTCTAGCTATTAAATTAATTTTTTTTTTAATCTATTTGATCTATGAGTGAGCATTTTTATGTTCTTATTGTAAATTTTTAATGTGAACACTTAGAGACCGTTAAAAAACTAATTCAATAATTAAAACAATAATTACTACTGATAAGATAGAATAACAATTACTACTGTAAGAGTTATCCAATTAAACAAGCTCGTCTATTTCTTCCTATAAAAGGAGAATGGGTTTTTTGGATTGCTCCAATGAAACGTTTCGTTGGAGTTTTTTTTTTTCTTGCTTTTGTCTACTTTTCCTTTTTTTTTTTTTGGGTTTTTATTTTCCTCTTTTGGTCCTTTTTTTTGTTGGTGCTATTTTCAACTTTTAAGGACAAAGCGACAACTTCTATTTTTTGATAGTTAATTTTGAGATTAATGTTTAGTTGGAGGATTCAAACCATAATTTGAATCATGGTTCATGGTTCGTTACAGTATTTTCTCTCATAAAAAATACACGTAAATCAAAAATAGTTCTAATCACATGATTATAATCCATAAACTAAACGTGTAACGCAGAGCGCACTTTTTATTTCACTCTTGCCCTATTATACATTTTTGTAATCGTTTCTCCAAATGTAATCACCCTCATAAATAATATACTTTTCTCTCTAATTTGTAATTTCTTCTCATACATATTCATGTCTAAATCTTTTTTAATCCTAACGAAACTTAATTCGTCACTGTTTTTTTCTCTTTCCCCTTTTTTCCATATTCTTTTTATTTTTCCCTGTCTCTAAATAAGACTCTCAAGAACTATATTTTTCTCTCTAATCTCACAATTAAATAATTTTCTCTCGCACATATCTATGTCTAATTTTTTTTTTTTTTTTCCTAAAACCATCTTTCCCCACTAATGAAATGTTTCATCTGTTTTTTTCTTTATTCCTTATTTTGACTTTCCTTCGTTTTTCCCTCTTTTTCTTCCTTTATTTACATGAAAATGATGTCTTTACAACAAATCTATATGATTTATGGATCATATATAATAATGTTATTGAGTTTTTCTATTGGGCTTGCGTGCATGCGTTTGTGGTTTCGACTAGTAATAAATAAAGCTGGAATCTTTTTGAAAAAAAAAAAGAATATAAAATAAGAAAAAGTAAAGAAAAGAAGAGGAGGTGAATTAAAGCAGTCTGAGACGGTACGAGCCCACCATATAAATAAATGGCCTATGTACTGTCAATTTGTCTCATCAATTAAGAGGCGTGTACTTGTAACCTTGATTCGAGTTTAGAATTTGAGTTAATTATATGTGAGAATTTTTTATTGTAGTAAAAAAATTAAATGTGATTGTTTATGAGAGCTTTTTACTATAGCAAAACTTAAATTTTAAATTCGAATCAGTAAAACGAACGAGACTATAATCTCGGAAGAAAAAAATTTGTACACATGTAAGTAAATTATCTCAATGAGACAATTAGGGAAAAAAAGTATTTTTTTTTACAGAAATTTTTAATGAAATAATATTTTAGATCACTCAATAAATTTTTAAGTAGAGACATATTTAAGAAAAAGATATTTTAAAATGAAAATAAAAACACGTTTTAATAAGAAACATTTTATATTAAACTTTTTTTAAAATATGAAAATAAAACAAACGAGAAAATTTGCGTTAACCTCCAAAAGTTGAAGTAAAAAAGGTATTGAGTTTTGGTCAAAACACTTAAACAATAAATAAAAGGTTTCGAAAAAAAATATTTGGATACATTTGGGAAAAATATTTTGAATGGGCAATTAGTACTTTTTATTAGGGTCATACTTCAAGAAGATTAAATATTTTATAAGACTCTGTAAAAAATAAGTAAATAGAGACATAGTTGAGAAAAACTATCTTAAAATATGAATTAAAAATAAAAATATTTTGAAGAGAAACATTTCGAAATAAAAGTTCTTTTTCAAAAAAAAAAAAAAAGGGAATTAAAGCAAATATGTTAAAGTATTTAAAAAATACTTAAAAATGCAAACCTCATTTTCCTTGCTTGTTTTAAGTTATAAACATATCCCTTGTCCTTTTTACCTGTTACCTTGTTAAGGTGATGAAGATCACGTCGATTCATTATTAAAGTTCATGACTCCTTTAGGTTAAAAAAGTATAAAAAAAGTTGTGATATATGGACGTTCCCAAATCCCATCTCATTTTAGCTCAAAGAAAAAAATGTATCATTTGCACATATATAACTACACTAGAAGTGTA